TGTGTGGGGTGTTTTGTTTTTGGTTGTTTTTTTTTGAGGGGGTGGGAGGAGAACTCGTGTTAGTGTTGACTGATAATTAATTTGATCCACTATGACCCCCTAGTTCCTTTCCTAGGCAGTCATTTTCCATTTTGTGTGTGCAGCTGATTTGTTCCTTCCTAAGTGGAATACTCTACATTTGTTCTTATTGAATTTCATCCCATTTACTTCAGACTATTTCTCCAGCATCACCTCTGCAGAATTCAGTCCCTTTTTATGTCCTTGGCAATGCATTTGTTTATCCCTTCTCCACTTCCTTCCAGTCTTTGTTTCATGTAGGGTTAGTAGCTCTTCAGCAAATAAATGTGGCCTACCTTAAGCCCATTTTCTCTCCTTTCTCTTGTCTTGCTTTGATAAAGTATATGTAATGTTTTTATGAATTCTGCGTTTGGCACTGTTACCCAATGGAAGCTCCCATCCAGCTCCCACTGTGAAGACAGCACTAAGCTCCGCATTTGTAAACAATGTAGTTGGTGTCGACATAGCAGAAATTGCCTACCTTAAGCTGACCTTCCGAGTCTAGAATAGACCTCGCCTTAGTCTGCAGAGAATGTTACACTCTGATTGAGGTCCATCTCGGTTGTACATACTGAGCCCAGACAGTAGGTACAGGGACTGGTCTCATAGCTGATGGAGGCAGAATTTTTTCAGTAATGGGGTAGGAGTTAAAATGCAAGGCCAGCAGCTTTCCCATCTGGAGGCAGTTCCTTAGCTCAGTGTTTCTCCAACTTGGTTGGGACCAATGTTCCCTCTAATCTTTTCCATCCATGTGCAAAATAATCTTTTAATGTGCACAGTCATATGCACTACAAGTAGAAGCAAAAATCTAGCTGTGAGTGCTCTTCTGGTCAGCTGGGTGGGATTTGAGACTCTCTGGAGTGGCTGCACAAGTACCCAGCTTACATGGAACACTGGTTGAGACTCCAAAGTGGTGTTACCAGAGATGGCATCAAACTTGCTAGGGCCTGGGGCAGAGGCCAAAGACCGAGCCCCACAACCTGAGTGGCCAGGCTCAGACTTCAGCTCCAGCGCTGGGTGGTGGGAGTTGAGCTTTGGCCCTCTCACCCAGAGGTAATGGGGCTTGGGTGGGCTCAAGCTTCGGCCCTCCCTTCTTGGTTCATGTAGTCCTTTTTGTTGTCAGAAGGGGACTGCAATGCAATGACGTTTGAGAGCCTTGCTAGCTCATTGGTGTTCGGGTTTATTTATGAATTGGTATTTAAAGCATTTTGAGAACTTTCAATGGAAATTGCTAGGGAAGAGCAAGGAGTGATGCTTTTGAATATATACAGAACTTAAACTCAGAGAAGTCAATTAGTCTTTGCAAAGCACTTCTGAAGAGCACAGTTGCAGATCTTCAGTATGATTGTTCTCTAGCTTGATTTAGTTCTCTTCCAGAGCTCCATATGTTTAGATTTTGGTTGAATTAATTTTTTTTTCTCTCCCACTCCTCAGCTCTCACAAATCCACTGCAGCTCCTTGCAGCCCAGGCTAGCTCATCCACTCCTGTTGTAGTCAGCCGGATATGTGAGGCAGCAGCTGAAGACCCTGCAGCACCCTCGGGTGAGCCAGATGTCAAAAGACCCCGAATGGAAGAATCCAGCGGAGCAGTCCAGGCTCAAACGGGAGTCATCACATCAACAACGCCTCAAGGACAGACAACCAGTGAATGACAAACCAGTGGGAGGATAGTAAGAATGTTCGTGGGGCAGCAGCATGCGCCGCGAAAGCAATTTTTCAAAGAAAAGTTTTGAAAAACCACAACTGTAATAACAGCCTGGAATTAAGAGAATTACAAGCTCTTTTTAAAATTTAATTTTAAAAGGGCAGGTCAGCAGCCATTCTTACAATCTCGAGGTGCCAAAAAGAATGGAAAAAAATCCTCCCAATTACCTGTTCCTGGAACTCAGTTCTGCCTTTACTTATGGGATATTTTTCCTCTTTTTAGATTAAAAAAAAAATACAGACAACTGATTGTATGACTGCTGGGATTTTTTTTTTTTAATCTCCTTCCCCTTTTTTCTTAAGGGGATGGGAGTTACAGTTCAGCATCTAAAGGAATGTATCATGGATGCATCTGCTCCCTGGGAGGAAAACTAATCATCTCTGATGCCTTGCTTATTCTGCCTTGTAGAGCTTCAAAACATAGGACCATTTAAAAGGGCCACCCAAGAAGATGGACATAGAAGAAGAGGCGCAGCTTCTCGTAGGAACAGCATTAAAGTAACATAATACCAAACTAGGGAGAGAAAAGGCAGATTTTTTTTATACAACGTCACCCTGTGAAACATTATTATATCCATGTTTGTTTATATGAGTTTTGGGAGGGGGAGCTTTAGGGCTGAACCAGCTGGATCTTCAAAATACAGTTTCTGTCCATTCCCTTTGAGGGAGAGTGGAAAAGTGAGACAATGGAGCAGCATTAATTTGTTTCTTGTAAAGAAAAGAACAACAAATATAAAGGGGTGGGTTGTACTCACACTCATATGCTTCTGGATTCACAGTAAAATATCTCAGACTGAACATGTGAGAACGGACACCTCTGAAAGGTTCTGTGTCATGTATATTGGGTTTTCTGATTGTTCATGTGTCTCCCTGCTTCTGGGGCAATATGGTTAATTTATAACATCCTAGAATGACCTGCCATCATCTTTCCTGTGATGGTTAGCCTTCTGCATCAAAGTGTTTATCTCAGTCCTTTCTGGCAGTACAGGCCTCTGGCCGGAAGACCAGATAGCCTAAGTTCAGTGGCCCAGCACCAGATGGAAACTTGGAGCTGGCATTGCTGGAAGAGGATTTTGGTGGTGTCCCATCATGAGATAGTGAGATTAAATTCCAGGGTGAAGGGCAGTGGCGATTAAAAACAGTATTGAGAATAAATCTCAAAAACAAATGCCAATAAGAGGAGGCCCCACATTTTCTACACAAAACTGTCAACTGCTGTTTTTAAAACAGAGTTTTGAGGTTTGCCTTTGCACCCAACCCATGCCTCCCAATGATACAATTAGACAAAGGACCAGGAGTCAATTGCATTTGTTAGTACTGGCCAGTAGTCAGAGAATTTCCTTCTAAATACACACTTGTTTTAATTTAGCAGTTGGGTAAATCATGCTCTGTTCATGATATACTAAAAAGATCAGTGCAGACCCACTATCCCTGCAGATTCCTCCTTGAAGCAGTTGGGAAAGTGGGTGCTGTGCATGGCATGAATTGTGGGTGAAGAAACAAGATTACTCTCCTTTTCAGCCTCCAGCTAACTAGTTAAGTTAGCAGAAAGAGTTGTATTGTAAAAACTATCATCTAAACACCAAAGACCTTTCTTAACTTAAAGATCCTGATAGCTTTGGAAATGTGAAAAGGAAGCCAGCAATGATGAAGCATATGTCTTCTATCTAGAGGTTTGTCCACCCTTTCTGCTTCCACTGACATAGTGCAGTGCTATCTTGCTGTTAATGCCAAACTGGCAGTGTTGTTATAGAGCAGAGTGCAGTAGGCTCAATGAGGAACTTTATGGGATGGATTTTCCCAACATATAATAAATGAGATCATCCATATCCTGTACACATGGCGCATCACAGGTGTTTGTTAGGGGAAAAAAGCATAGTTGATTAATTTCTTCTAGCATCTTAGGGAGGAGACACATGTTGTAGTAATGACTAAGTGCAATTGGGTGACACTAATTTTCTTCTAGGTTTCCTTTTTCTTTGCCAGATATCATTCTCTGAGTGAGAACCACTGTCTAAAGGAAAGCTGAGCAAGTTTGTTGTGGCCCCCAAAGTTTCCAAAAAGGGAGAAAATTCTTGGGGGACGTGGTTTAGGGTTACACCGTCAGAGGCACAAACTGCATTGAAGGTAGCAATGCATCTTTGGTATGACCATTCTCATTTATATGTATGTTGGTGGCAACCATTAGACATATTCTCTGGATTTTAGTGCATTGAGTTGATTTCTAAAATCTGGTGGTAGCTGTTGTAATTTGCCTAATAGTCGCAGTCAGTCAGTTAACAACTTTGCACCTCTTCTGCTTCCTAGAAAGTGGTTGAGTCTGGGTTTTTAACAATGACCAGCTCATGTAACAGTTTGCTCGCAGCCAGGATTCTAAGAAAAGACTTTCATCATACAGAATAGGGCACAATGATGAGAGTACAGCACAGTTTAATTGTGCCCCTATAGCCAGCCAGTAACTTCAGGTGAATGCTGCTTTGAATTTCAACAAGCTTCCAGGAAGAACTGAGTCTGGGAATCCTATATGTAAGAAATGGTTTTTGAGTCTTGTATCATGTCAGGTGAGCACATGCTGGATGAGTGACAAATGAAAAACATTGTTTGGGTTAGATAGTTGCTTCTCCTTGAAAATGTCCATAAATATGACAGTACCTTAAGCTGCTGTAAATCAGAGAGCCACTGAGAAAAGCAGAGAATTGCAGACAAACAGACAGTGAGTGTTTCCACAGATCAGTTGCTGCGTTATAGAGACGCCTTTTTAAAATGTACAGGTTTAAAATATACATAGTTGTCCCTTCAATATTCAGGGCATGTAACGTTTTCCCAGTCTCTCCTTTTTGGTTCAGAATACCTATTGGCCAAGTTGCTAGTTGATAATTGAATATACTTATCACTAGTTACATATTCACTGGTTCTACCTGCAAAACTCCATAATCTTTACTTTACCCAAGTAGTGTTTTCTGCCTCATCCCTCACCAGTCTGGATATCCACCTTCCATTCTAGGAAGCAGCATACCACTTGTGAATTAACCTTTCTTTTACAGTCATTTAGTAGGTGCTTGGCTTGTGTTGGACCCACACTGGGGAAAAACAGCATTTCCTACCCAAAATCCTGTGGCCCTATGGAAAAGCGTTCTTCCTCATTTGTAGCAGTTGATTAAGAGTATTTATACCTACTCTCAGGCCTCCAGAGTGGTACCCTAGCATGCTGCCAGTTCTAGAAAGCCACTCAGCAAAAACATTGCAGTTACCAATGAAAATTCCATTGAAGAAAGGGCAAATTATAGATATTGGAGATTGAAACAACCTAACGTTATCTAGTCCATCTCTGCCGAAGCTAGATTGTTGCCATGCCAGAAGTGTGTTTTCTTCCCCTTTTACATGCGTTTTCAACCCATTGGTAATGTACCTCAATTCTTGTAGTGACAAATTCTCTTCCTTTCTTTTTCTCTTCTGGCTGCTGCTAATAGTCCACACTTAGGTGACTGGGTATAACCAACATGGAGTAAATAGGCTATTGTGTTTCTTGGTTATTGGAATGTAGAATTTGGGCTGGAAATATTTGGTGATAAGGTCTGAATCCATATCTGAGTTGGGTCTGGTTGACCCCTTTTTCTATTTGGAAGCGACTTCATTTGAGAGAGTTGGCATATGCAGGGAAAACAGATGCCATATTGCAAACAGATGCTCACTCTCGTTTAACAACCTCTTTTTCTTTTTTTCCTTTGTTGGTGGTTTGTTGCTAATGACCATCAGATCTAGGCCTAGTCCAATGAATTCTCCTGCATTTTGGCATCAAATCTGTTGTTTTCAGCCAACTGTGATTACTGTGCTTTCCCTTGGCTTGGGCAAGTGTCAGATGGAATCCAGTGCAATTTCAAGGTCATTTGAATTACATCGTCCCTCCCAGTCTATGTGAAGATGCTCCTACATTCCGGTGTATTTGAATGTGACCTCCCATTACCTGGGTTACTTTTGCAGAATAATATAGAATATGTTTTAATGATTGACTCGAAACTTAGAAAATGTTATCCCCAAAGAATCCCCAGGAATACAAAAACCTGTATTTGCCTTTTAAATTCCCTTTTCTATTTGAAAATGGGAGCTACTAATTTTTGTGTAAGGTTGGAACTTTAAAAAAAAAAATTAAATGAATTTTTCTGTTGAAACTTTTTAAAAGTCTTGTTTACATTTCAGCCTGTTTTTTTTTTCTTGCTGCATCCAGCTGCTAGTTAAGCCATACCACACATTGAACACAAGGTATTCATATGAACTCCACTGGCTTTCTCTCTTGGGCATTATAAATGATTACACAAACTGCTGGGATAAAGATATAGAGTAAGGTCTTCAACTTAAGGGATATTTAAGTTTGATTACTTGAAACATCCAATTGTCCAGAAACATTCATATCCCCCTTCATCTGTAAATTGCATTGAAAAACACCTTGATTTTTCATATCCCCCTTCATCTATAAATTGCATTGAAAAACACCTTGATTTTTCCAAAAGCTTCAGTCAGCTGAAATTGAGTGTTTCTCACAATATTTGGATTATGGCGGTTGTATCATATGAGGGTTTTTTTAATGTTTCTTTACCTGCTATAAGCCACACCTTGAGATAATCTAAAACTGAAAAAAAAATCTGTCTTTTTTAATCCTTTTGCATTTTTCTCATCTTCTATTGTCTTTTTTTAATCCTTTTGCATTTTTCTCATCTTAGACAATGATTAGAGATGAATCACTTTTAAGATTTATAATTCAGTGAATAGCTCCTTTACTCATACACTACTGGGATGATGCCTGGGTTGCAAACACTGCAAGGGGTTGTTCTTGGTTTTATTCCACTAGAATTATTTTAAATTCATGTTTCTCAAGCTTGGCTTTATAAAAACTTATTTTTACAAAAATTTCAATTTTGGGGAGAATTTGACCTGATGAGAGAACCCTTTCAAAGTGGTGCCAGTTTAATCTGATTCAGTGATTGCTGCCACATATGAGCAGCATGATATGCTAAATTCGTGGCTTTAGCTCTTAATTTTTCTAGGCCAGGAGAGACTAGGTGAGCTGTAGAGGGCAGCATGTTTAGTCTTCAGGTGAAGACAAGAGCACTTATATTGAATGCTCTCCAGTACAAGGCTGGGAGAAAACTAAAGTATAACATATTTGGGATCCGCAGGCTCTGAGGAAGAGTTGGAGTGGGGTCATGTTATAATAAAATTCTGCTGTGTGTCAGTTTTTTGTCTCTTAGAAATTTGCTGCTGGTTGCAGCTTTTCTGTAAAGTAAGAAACACAGACCTGAGTTAAATTTTACAGGGGTGAAGAAATAGGCAATTTTGGATCTTTTCCTTTTGCTTCTAGGTGGTAAACAGCTTCCAATTTTACTTGAAAATGTCCTGGCTGTGTATGGTCTTCGTGATAACTGATACTTATTATCAACAACGATGTAAATAGCTAAATTTAATAATATTAACTAATAAATTACTGAATGAATTGCAAATGTTTAATTTTGCATGTACTCCAGTTAGATGCCTGACTCCCTAGAGACCCAACTGCAATTCAGAGTCAACTTCCACAACCCACTATTTCAATATTAAAAAAATTATTTTAAGATTGGGACTTAAATCTAATGAAATGAGAGCTGTTGACCTTAACTGGCATGTAGAGTGATGTGGAACATTGTTCTGAGTCACCTGGAGGGGTTCAGGCTGGTGCTACAGCATTACCTCTTAGTACCTCTGATGTATTGCAGGATATACCTGAATATTAGAATGTGAAGAAATAAAAGAAAAGAACTTTCTGCCATAGCTAAGTGCATGAAAGTTGGATGGCAGATACAGTGAAAGGAATTAACAAAGCTGTCCATAGTTTAACTTTTGCATATTTTCCTTTGTGACCAGTGGCTCCTACTTTTAAACCCCAGTTGGGTTTAAATGATTAAATCCTCATGTGAAGGATTGTCCACATTTTTGTCTTGGTTATATAGTGTCCCAAGGAACAAACTCTATGCCGCATAGTTGTGAGTTGCAGCCCAGGGAATTGTAAAAGTTCTGACAGTACCTGTTGTGCAGTTGGACTTATCCCTCTCTGCTGAACTGTTCCAGCTTGTGCCTTTAAGAGTAGGAAGCAGTGTTGTGGACCTCAGGTAGCATTAGAAATACTTAAGCCATGTCTTGGTTTGATGAAACAAACAGTGGATTCAGTTCTACATGCAGCTTAACATTTAGATTTTCTTAATAAAAAGAACATTTTTTTTTATTTAATTGAATTCTATTGGGTTTCTTAATCCTGCTGCTAATAAACTGGAGTTAGGCATTAAGAACTATTATTTGTAAAAGGGACATGATCAGCTTTGAAGTTTTGCCATTAAAATGCAGTATATTGATCTTTTGCTTTGTGAGTGTTAGCGAACATGTAGCAATAGTTTTTCTTCATTGGCATCCAGGTCGTGAGCCATCCCCCCCCCCCCCCCTGTTTTTTTCCTTTTCCAATTGTTTCCTTCCATGTCAATGAACTTATGACCTAAATGCTCATTTGCACGCCATGGCTTAAAGGTATGTGTGATAAGACTGTTGTGCCCAACACGTCTCTCTGCAGGCTGCAGTCGGATGAAAGACTTGGTTCAGTTGTTCTGTGTGTGATTTTTGTTTCTGAGTAAAAACAGTTGCTTTTAAAGCTGCTATGTCTATAACATACACTACTGCTGCACTGTATAGAGTGCAGTGGAGCCACCTGACGAGTGTTGTGCTGTAGGAAATCTGTTACACTACACAAATGTGTCTAGTGTGAGATTTGCTGAGCTACGAGGGATGAGAAGCATGTTCCCTTGTACATACAGAGTCTTAAGCCATTTGCATAGCCTCATGCTGACCAAAATGTAGCTGTGACTTCACAGGAAAGAGTTCCCTTTGGTCATTCTCATCACACATTCTCACTCTGTCTGTCTGTCATAAGCAACTAGCACCACTAGTAGTGGCAAACATCCAGTTGTGATGGTGTTTTTGCATGACAAATTCTGTTTTTTCAGGGTGTTGTAATGTGGCTGAAAACATTTGCTTTGGGGTGAGTAGGAGATTTGCTCTTGCCAGAACGGTGATTTTAATTTAAATTTTTTAAAATATATGAATGTGTCTTATTAAAAAGACAGAAATACAAAGCGTATTTGTAGGTGTTAATTAATTTTAACTATACTGTACAAGATCTTTCAGAATGAATGGCTGGATGTATCCTTACTGCTGTGTATATATACTTTACACATTACTGTAACTCATGAGCTGTTTCCAAACTGGGATAAGCCATTGGTATATCACAGGGAGAATGAGCGCTAAGAAACCATTCTTTTTAAAATATTTTTTCCAGAGTATTAATTTAGATATATGTAAGTATAAATCTTATTTATTAATGTGCATGTGTATATAAGTGGTCCATGACTGTTCCCTATGATTAAGAGTGTAAATGGAACTTTACATAGATACTGGTAAATTCTAATTGCAGGCACTAATTCTAGGAGAATGATATCCCTACCTTAGTTTAGAGTGGGGAGCGACCTGCAGAGGTGTAGCTTCCTTTTTATAGGACAGGAGGGCCCACTTAGGACCCTGCTCTTCCTCTAGAATGAGTCCCACTTGTGACACAATACTGGGAACTTTGCAGCAGCACACGCTGTTCTGTTGGCAGGGAAGTCCCCAAATGGCACGAATGAGACTTAGAGAATTAAAAGGATTCAAACTGTCCTCCTGGCCATGGTTTGAGAAAACCAAGCGTCAAGATCCTGAGATTCTCATTTAAACTGTACATAATGGGGCCACTCCCCTGTAAGCTGGAAATTAATTAGGCTGGCACAAGAGTGCAGTTTATATGCATCAAGTTTAATTTTCCCAACTGCTTTAAATTACCGAAAGTTTTAAAATTGCAGTCTCTCAATTCAGCGGTCACTTCAGTGTCTTGCACAGTAGAGGATATTACCTCCCCAAACACTCAGGATACTAGGCTAATCTGTGTGTGTGTGTGTGAGTTTGAGTGTGAGTGTGAGATATTGTTTTCTACTTCTTTCTCTTTGATTTCCACTCTCCAAATATCTGCATTTGGATCTCTGCAAAAATAAGGAAATGTGCTCTTGATAAACTGGAATGCTGCTTCATGGGTGGCTGCTATAGGATCTGGAGGTGGTGCATGCAGCCTGTCCCATTCTTTATGATGCTCCTATCTCCAACATGCTTGAGGGGTAGGGTCCCCTAGATAAAATAGATTAATATAAATACGCATGCAACAAGAATTCCTCTTGCTTTTTCCTCTGTGTGCCAAATTCATCCTTGGTGTAACTCCATTGAGGTTACTGGACTTACTTTGGGATGATTTTTTACTCATTTTGGCCTTTTCAAGGTTACTCATAGTATTAGGGAGCCAGAAAGAGGCTGAGTAATTTGCATTTCTTTGAGGACCCAGAATATAAACTTTTCCTAAATTTATGCTGGCATCAGGATCTGATGGTTGATTTTCTTGGGAAGGTCACTTGGGTTGAAGGTTGTTCAAAAGGGAGTAGGTGTGGTACTGTGGGCAATGATAGAAAATACAGCTTTTCTTCCTCCCCGAGGGAGGAAAAGCCATGGTGAAATCCAAATTTGACACGCTATATATTATGGCTCTTGCTTCATATCCTCTCCGGACATGGCCAAAAGATGATAGCAAAGGCCCCTGAGAAACAACATTCAGTGTTTAAAGTTGGCTTCAACTGCTTACTCATATGACCTAGGACAAGTTATGTGACTTCTTGCACTGCATCTGGCTTCGATGAAAATTGCCAAAAACAGAACCATCATTAAAAAACAGATAGATAGTTATCACAGGATATTTCTAGTGGTTTGGTTGGAAGGAACAGGATTTAGATCAAACGGAACAGTGATTTTCATTTTTTTTTTCCATTTGCAGACCTCTTAAAAAAATGAATAAAAGGTGCGGACCAGTGTTCCCTGTAAGCTGACATCCACCCAGGAGAGATTCAAATGCCACCCAGCTGAGTAGTAGTGTGTCCAGAGCACTTACATACCACAACATGTTTCTTCTGGTGGTACACATTTGTACATGCTTTGGTGCACATAGGAAAATGTATTCCATTCAAGGATGGGAAAAAATTTGAAGGAATACTGGTGCGGACCACTTTGGAAATCTTAGACA